CATTAAACGCCAGTTAAAAAATGTAGAGAAACTGTTATTCCTTTCTTCATTGTCATTCGCTTAACCAGTATTTCAAAAGGGGACGCCGTCAGCACACACACAGCGCTGCTCCGCCGGACAACCCGAGGAGAGAAACAAAACCGGAGGTACCTGGAAAGTGTTTGGTGTGCGGCAAATCTTTCCGTCATCTGTCCGCAGCTAAGAGACACCAGGAGGTACACGCTGAACATCCCCATACTCAGTGTAGTGTGTGCAAAACCTCGTTCCTGAATGGGCGTTGGTTGCGCCGACACATGAGGCGACTTCATTCTTCGGGAGACGAAAAGCCTTCCGGAACATTCAGTAAACGATTGCAAGAATCAGAGCTACGGGGAAATCTATGTCTCAAAGGCGGAAAGTGTTTTTCGACATGGAGGACTCTGTTTCAGCCTCTGAAATGGTCACATGGTGAGAAAGCACGTCAACACTGCGAGGTCTGTGGGGTCTCTTTCCGCCGGAAATCAGATTTGGATTGTCATACAAGAACCGTGCATGGAACGCAAGGCCAACACATGTGTGAGGAACGCGGTTTAACCTCCTCTCAAACATATATTCTCGGGAGACATGTTGCAAGGAAGCACACCGATCAGCCGGATGACAAACTACTTACCGATTAGAAACAGCCGGACTAATTATTACACACGCACAAAATGTACCGGACCTATGATGCCCGGTGTTACCTTCTATTTAAAGCACATCAATTTTTATCGTCCTGACAGGAATTCGGTTTGTTTCTTATTTTCGGTGTACGCTTGCGAGCTACATTCCACAAAAATTTGAACCTGAAAGCGATCCTATAAACCCTGTTTCTGTTCACGGTAATACCCAAAGTATATCATCTGGGATACTACCTGGTTCAATAATGTGTATTCGTGACGAGGTCTCAGATGACCACAAAACGTATCACTCCACCAACGACGCTTTTAAACAAACTCGTTAACTAGGGCTTGTTTGTCAAAATGTGCGAAAATATATCATGTTGCTAAAGAATTGTTGATTTAGGAGAATCTGACATATATGACTCTATAAGCTGATCTAAACCTGACCATGGGAAGTTGATTTGCTGATTGAAATACGAGGGTGGTACCGCGCACTGCGGTACTAGCTAAACTGCGATTTAATCCAGATGCCGTTCGGCCGCTGGTGGATGAACCATTAGCACTTCAAATTAGCGGCGGGGGATTCGCCTTTTCGAAAATCGCAGTAATTATTTGAGACGCAGTGCACGTTCCAGTGCGATCAATTTGAAATTCAAACAGAACTGCGGAGTAACTGACTCGGTGTTTCAGGGTAGCTTGTTTATATTCTCATGAAGGAAACTACTCACAAGGTTGCCGAAAACTATTCGAAAGCCCACGACCGGCTCTTCAGATAGGCGCAGTCCCCGAGTTTCCGTCAACCTTATGTTCTACTTCAACCCGATTTGGACGTGTTTTCGAGAAATGCACTTATTTGCATATAAATTTGTTTTGATTTTACTTAATGGGTGGAATCCCCACAAAGTACATCCTAATGCCCGGACGTAAAGCAAAAGACTCAAGCGATTTGAACTTCAGCTTCATAAAAGCGGTTGCCCTTAGGTAAATCAATCGGAATAAATTGCTGAAAAGTTCCTATGTCGTGTTGCAACCGTCAACTTCACACCGCATTCTGCCCTGATAACTGGTCCGTCATCGCTAACAAGATCTCTGTCGGGTTGCTGGTGTCACCCGCTGTACACTGGATAGATATCCATCCAAGCAGAATTCAGCTGATCCTAACATAATATCTGCATGAGCATATTCGACGCTCTACTGTAAAGAAGGTGTTCCTTGAAAAAATCCTTTGGCCCCTGGCATCACGGTGCATCAAATCTCAAAACGGTTCTTGAATAAGACTGCATGTAACGCCACAAATTGTGGGTTCCGTGGTGGAGCGATGTTCCACAAATTGTGCAGCCGATCGCCCCATGTGTTGAGTATAACCAGCGGATTTTCGCGGCTCATACTTGCTTCGGCCAGTTTCTCAAGAGTATGCACTGCCTTGTGGGGCTTCCCTGTTTCGCTCCTGACAAACGCCCTTGGCAGCTTCATACCTCATCCACCGCCTGAACTAAAAGTCGAAGTTAGTCACCGCAATTCCGCTTCGCAATGTGCAGCGCACGAGCCATGGACAAGCTCATCAGTGTTTTGCATACAAAACACTCAGGAGAGGACAGCAATTCATACGTATTCATTTACACATAAAAAGCCGCGTCGTTATACATTTTATTCTCCATTGGCCGCTACAAAGCGGACTGCGAGGGAATTCGGTTTAACTGATTCCACACACAACGAAATGATAGACCTCAGCATAACTTCTAGTCACATTTTATGGGTCCTCGTAGTGAGAAGCTGACTGCTCATCGCTGTGAATTCCAGTTGCATTGCTGCCCGTTTATTTTGCTCGTGCCCTTAGGGTGAATGGACGAGACTGATTAGCAAAAACACTGAAGCCTGCGGCGTCGGTAGAAGCCTCCATCCCGTGTAATAATCCCATGATTCTAAGACGCAACGTTATGATTATTCGTTTTAGATCGATAAAAAACCCAGGAAAAGTCACGAGTGATATTTCTTCGTTGGCACAAACAATTTACCACCACCAAGTTGGCCAAGCCTCGAGGAAAGCTGGGAACCGATTAGTGAAATCTCCTCAGAATTGATCAGTGTTCACCATCAGTTAAATTGTCGTATTGAGTAGTGGGGTTACTTAATCATCCAGGTTGCCGGGCTTCAATTAATGATGCCACTGGTGGGTATTGTCGGTGTCTGTGAACTTGTAAGCACTACAGTACTTCAGTCAGTTGGACGAAGGTTATGTTAGGTCAAAGGCCCCCCAGATCTAAGCTGCTTCTGTCAACGAATTTCTGTGTGATGACAGCGCACCACCAGGAGTCAGCTCACAACTGATCTACAACCGTACTCAGCGTGGTTGCTAGTTTTTCTAGTGAACTGGGATAATTAGTGATTTCGGCAACCTCGGTCATCAGTCTCTGTTCAGTTGACCGTAGTGACGGTCCCAAAACTTCTAAACTTTTTCCATTTAGTAGCTTTCCTCTGTCCGGTGCACGCCCGGCTATTTTAAACTTTGCACCGAAATTCGCCACTTCGGTGGTTCAATTGAGATATCATACCCAATGCAAACGCCGCCATGAATATTGGCGGAAAGCTATTTTAGTATGTAGTGAGTGCGTGTCAGGCGGACTGATCTACATGTATTGGTATCCATGGATCATCGTCCCTCGAGATGTTTTGTTAGCGCCAGTCCTGGCAAGCACAATTCATTCATGTTTTGGAACTGTGGAAATATTCTTCTATTCTTAGTCAAACCAGGGCAGTCATAAAATCTTCCTTCCACTCGGGAGCGAACGTCCAGTCAGTGGAACAGCTAAGTAAGTTCGAATCAGCAAACACCTAATAACCAGTGCAACAGGCAAGTCATTTGGATGCCAGGAGCGGATTTTTTCATGGGAGTATAGTGACAGTGTGAAGACCATGTGTACCCAGGGGCGATGCGGAAGCAATAGTGCGAACAACCAAGTCTGGCAGGCGTGCAGCACGTGCGATTGGGTAGGCTGTGGATGCAATCAAATAGTTCATTCTTTACGCCTCTTCCGACCCACTATTTGATGGGTTTGCACTGCGTGCATTCCGAGGATACAGAATGCTTCAGTTTGGTTTAAATTAGTTAGGTCTTGACAAATCAAGGAACCAAAAAATAAATGGATCTCATGCAGCCTGCAAAGGATGGAATGAACACAGAATAAATGTTAGGGGCGCAGAAAGTTTCGGCCGAAGGTAAGGAAATATAAGGGATTCAGTGGAGTCGGAGATGAAGACGGATTTGACGGTCACAACACGGTGTAATTGGAAGCCGGACCTCCAAGACGAAATGTGCCGCAGATGTCCAGAATGTGGTGCACCCCTCGGTCATCAGTCTCTGTTCAGTTGACCGTAGTGACGGTCCCAAAACTTCTAAACTTTTTCCATTTAGTAGCTTTCCTCTGTCCGGTGCACGCCCGGCTATTTTAAACTTTGCACCGAAATTCGCCACTTCGCAGGTTCAATTGAGATATCATACACAATGCAAACGCCGCCATGAATATTGGCGGAAAGCTATTTTAGTATGTAGTGAGTGCGTGTCAAGCGGACTGATCTACATGTATTGGTATCCATGGATCATCGTCCCTCGAGATGTTTTGTTAGCGCCAGTCCTGGCAAGCACAATTCATTCATGTTTTGGAACTGTGGAAATATTCTTCTATTCTTAGTCAAACCAGGGCAGTCATAAAATCTTCCTTCCACTCGGGAGCGAACGTCCAGTCAGTGGAACAGCTAAGTAAGTTCGAATCAGCAAACACCTAATAACCAGTGCAACAGGCAAGTCATTTGGACGCCAGGAGCGGATTTTTTCATGGGAGTATAGTGACAGTGTGAAGACCATGTGTACCCAGGGGCGATGCGGAAGCAATAGTGCGAACAACCAAGTCTGGCAGGCGTGCAGCACGTGCGATTGGGTAGGCTGTGGATGCAATCAAATAGTTCATTCTTTAAGCCTCTTCCGACCCACTATTTGATGGGTTTGCACTGCGTGCATTCCGAGGATACAGAATGCTTCAGTTTGGTTTAAATTAGTTAGGTCTTGACAAATCAAGGAACCAAAAAATAAATGGATCTCATGCAGCCTGCAAAGGATGGAATGAACACAGAATAAATGTTAGGGGCGCAGAAAGTTTCGGCCGAAGGTAAGGAAATATAAGGGATTCAGTGGAGTCGGAGATGAAGACGGATTTGACGGTCACAACACGGTGTAATTGGAAGCCGGACCTCCAAGACGAAATGTGCCGCAGATGTCCAGAATGTGGTGCACCTTCAGCTTCTTGTCAGGAGTCCTGACAGGTCAGGAAATCCACTCAGGTACACCGAAATTTTTATCAGGTTGATATGACTGCAGATAATGTCACTCAGGTGAAATCGCTTCTTCACGCAAAACCTCTAGTAAAAAGGCTCGCGTGTTCCAAGAACGTGGTAGGCCTTGTCCAGGGTCTTACAAGCGTCTTGCAATGTGGAGGTCCTTACATCGAAATCGTGTTCACCAAGAGTGAAAGCGGTGTATGTGCAAACGATGTGTTGGGATTTTAATCATGAAAGCGAACGCTCCGCGACAGAGGGAACAGAGGCTAGTTCTAGATGTGAAGTACGTGAGGCATTGTTGAATCGTTTTGACCTTTGCAGGTATACGGTTAATCCACGAATAATCAACTCGAACTTATTCACTGGTATGTTAGAGTAATACTGTGACGATGATACTACTGATGAGGAAAGGACAAGGTCTAGACTGTTGATTTTGTGATCTAGTGTGGAACTCTTGAACGTTTTTAGGCGTTCAGCACTAGCATTTTGTTTGACCCAAGCTGCCTATTCATGCGAGTCTCCACACAAAATGGATCCCCTTTGCAGGTATTGCTATAGAACTCCAGGAACTTGGTCTCACCGCATACAGTTGGTGACCAACTTGAGACAATTCTGCTACTGTCAGGCAATTCTGAGATCTTCGTAGAAAGACGCCTTGGCTCCATCGACATACTTAAAGCAGTGTATTCTATTCGTCCTGCCCATATTGTGGTCCTAACCAGCTTGCCATGAGATGATCATGGAGAACAGGAGCACCCTCCTGGCAGCACAGTGAGTTAGTCGCCTGAAGTCTGTGCCTTGACTCAAAATATGCATTCAAGTTCCAGAGTGCCTAGTTTATACGTCCTACCAATTAAATCGGGGGGGATGATCATGGAGAACAGGAGCACAAATTCAGTGATCTACTTCGACCAATCGTATAATCGGTTAATTTTGGCTCCATTCCAACGGACCAATGATATCAACAAACGCGATCAATAAACTCAGTTTGCATGTAACACCTGACCATCATGAACAAACCTATAAGGATACAAAAAGGAAACATCGCACTAAACACAGGAGAAAAATGAACACTACAGAATCACTTTTGGTGATGTTGTTTGCAGCAAATATTTTGGCGGCCAAAAATAATGGTGACTTAAGCTCGCTTTACCACAAAAACACACAGTTTTACCATGGCAACCAGGTGAGGCCCGTTTTTGAGTTGTGTATTCCGCGTACAAAATGTATCTGTGACGTCCATGCATCAGCACGCATCATAATTACTTCCCGTGTTAACTAACAAAGTCAAGTTTTGCTAGGGCAAAACTTGAGAAAGCAAATCTTGGTCGCAACGTAGTACCATTCAGCTAATCGTTTGCTACCGTGGGTACTCTGTTCTGAACAGCAATAATCAGGGTCTCTTTCACCACTCTCAGCGTCTGTGAACATTGTAAATGTGAATAAAAATACCGCCACTATCAAACCTCCTAGAAGAAGATAGAATCATTTCCTTCCAGAGGAAATTCTACTTTTATGTGGACAAAAGAGCAGGCCACCGCCATGGGTAGTCATTTGGACGTAACCGCTTGAGAAATGGTGTTTTCCTAAGACATAACAGGCACAATGGATTCACACGTGACCGTTCCTTTGGAAGTGACATATTGTCGGGAAATCGAGGTAAATAATCTGGTCTACACCTCCACAAAAGATGCAAGACATCCCGAGAAAGAAATACATGACCCTCAGGAATTGTGCGTAGGCGACGAACTCCCAAGGTTCCGCAGTCGATCTAAGGTGTATATGGATTGCGGTGCTGCGTCACGCATCAGACCAAATCCTTCGCAGTTTGCTCACAATCTGGATGACCTCTTTTGTCTGTTACAGTATGCGGGTTGAGTCGCGTGGTACTGGAGTACGCCTCCCTGTGTAAGTCATTATTTCCAAAAATGTTTAATGACAGTGTACCACAGTCTACTTCTCTTAAATAAGCTGGCCTTCTAAATCTTCGATGAAAAACTGTATTCGAACTCGCGAATGATTGTCCCTAGCAAGCCTCCGCTACAGAAGTAACTTCATTCTGTAAGCCAACAGACGGTTACATCCGAGCGTGGGAAACTAGTCTAAACTTTCCTGGATATTCATTAACTAATGCTCAAATCCATGCAAATGCTACAAAGCGACTCAACAAATTCCGCCAACTCACCGGAAGAAAACATACTACTCGCATGCCTTATGCAAAGCCAACTCACCGGAAGAAAGCATACTACTCGCATGCCTTTCCCACAGTGGTATCACCGTTACTCTAGTTCGAGCTTTGAAGAGGCACTAGGTTGGCGTTCGGCCTATCAAACGTGTAACTGTCTCTGTCGCCCATGCGGGAGGTTTAAGCCGTACACTGTCGCCATTTTTTTATTTCCTCGGAAATGCTAGAGATATGTCCTATACCATACATAGTAATATGCTAATATAAAGGGACTTTTGATTTATGTTAGAGAATTCCGACTACTGGTGAAGCCGGTCTGTGTAAAATATTCGCGAAACAGCAGGTTGCTTCTGTTACAATTGGGCGACCTCACCAGTGCAGTTTCCGGAATTCCTAAGGCAGTTCCAACCTTTATAATCCAACCTAACCCAAGTCCAAAACTGTTCGGGACCAACCGCTGTTTGGTGCATGTGAACATCTTGCACTTCGGCGGGATGAATCTCCACTCAAAATTCTCTGAGGGAATGACCTACATGAAATAAGGTATACCCTACTTGAAGATATAAAATTATCCTTCAACACAACATTTTTTACTGATGTTCTTACTTCATACAAATAACTTCTTACTTGCAATAAAGCATGTAGTATGGTCCACCAAAAAACTCTGAAGATCCAGACAGATTCTATTTAGGTCAGCTGTCAATGGTAAAGCCGCTTAGGTAAGTTCGTATGCTCAGTTCTATTCAATTTCTGCTAGACCGATTTATTGCGAACTTCTGAGCCTGTGTTTTGATGAAAATGGTTCCAAGGGCTGCTATATCTGTCATGAAACGTGAACTCTTTCTGGATGATCCATCGTACCTGCACAAGCTCTCCGTATGCCAGGTGCACGTGTCCGGTAATATTACCAAGTTTCCGGAATAATGTCGCCGACAGTCACTAGTCTCAAGGTCAATATTAAATATTCCATTGGATTCATGCTGTTTCAGTCACTGAACTATAGTCTGTTTAGAGGTGTATTGCGTTTGCTGTGGTGCCTGGATCTTCCCTAGCTGCTCAGAACACATCCGCTCAGGGCTTTGTGCAGAGGAGGCCGAGATGAAGTGTAGAATGAAGAGAATATGGTTTTCTTCCACAAAAAGCTCAACTTGTTGCAAAAGTAACACGGAACGTTGGGCAACTAAAGACAAAATGGACACATCTGACAACCAAGACAATCTATCCAAATGGAGACCACTCGTCTAACCCGGTGGGTCCAGTTCGTTGTCCTACGAAATTCGAACTGACGAGTTGTTTCTTTATATCAACCAATTATAAGTGTCCTACAGAAGAAGGTCATTCATAAATCACGTGTCTGTTGCAGCCAAGTAGTCATGAATCAATAGTCAGTCGAAATATAGCCACCTCATGCGAATTCCATAAGCAGGAGATAGCAGGATTTGGACAGTGTTTACTTGGAAGCGAAGCAAATAGTCGGCTGCTCGCCATCGAAAGGTTTGTACCTCAATGTACGAGGAAAGTGAAACAGCTGTTCGGCCATTCTCAGATTTCACAGTTTCAGTCCCTTAATACTTTGGATGGAATTCTATGCCTCTTGACCTGTTGCGTGCCAGATGAAGCAAGATATTTATTTTCTGGCTGATCTTAAGTTTTGGTCGCGGGTTGGGCGAACGCCTGAGTTGTTGACTTATCCCTTATCCCAGAGTTTCAGCACGAGTTAGGACTAGTTGCAACATGAAGGTTAAAGTGAACTCTGCCGCCTCTCGCAATTGAGTGCAATCTGATACATACGTTCATTTCATTACCGTTTCATTCGGAGTAATTATAGGCCAGAAGAAGAATTTAGTAACACTGATAACTAAATATTCACGTTTTAAAATACAAACAGCCTTGGCAAACGGGATACAATCAGCTGATAGAACCGAAGATGGCTGTTCAACTGTTGCACAACCAAACGAGACAAAGAAACAAGAAAACGGTGAAGCACCCCACACTTCTTTAATATGTCATCACTCATTCACTAACCTGTTGGCGGCAATCAAATACCAGGAGGTACACGCTGAAACCCGCAATTGCTATTGTAGTGTGTGCGAAATATCATTCGCAAGTGAGCGTGGACATCAGCAGCATATTAGGAGAAAAAACGCCAGTGGACTCCACATTCCCGACAGGACATCCGGTAAGCGAGTGCGGGAATCATAGGAAAGCGGAAATCCATGTGCTTTGCAACTTGGAAGAATCTGTTCCAGCATCGGCGATCGGTTCACCGAGAGGAAACGCGTCAAGAGTGCAAGGAGTGTGGAGCACTGTTCTGCTGAGAGTGGAATCTTGATCGGCACATGGGAACCGTGCACGGAAAGCAACTCGATCACATTTGCCAGAAATGTGGGAAACGGTGCTGCAGGTGGGATGTTTTTAGGAGACATGTTGAAAGTGCGCACGGGACGACAGCGAGTGACGCGAGGCCTATTGACAGAACGCAAGAAACATGACATTCAATTAGCTAAATATATAGTGGTCACTTAATACAATTGCCTGCTCAATTTCGTCGAATTTTGTGTCTGCTCTCATCGGATGAAAGCAACATGTCTGATGGCTGAAACAAATAAAGCCCAAATTATGTTTCCACTTCCATTTGTCGTTTTCGGATAATTTCAATAGGATGGGACTCCGGTGCTGAAACAAGACTACTTCCGGAGAATTCATATATGATTTCGACCCGCATCGCGGCCGACTCCGGACTCATTACAATGAACATAACAAATATCGTAGGTGCCCAGTGTTTTTTATGTTTCGTCACCTTAGCTTTCGAATGCCCCCAGAACAGAGTCACGTTCGCGATCGCTCGGTATTTTACAGATGAAAATAGCGTCCGTTTGGCTGGATCTTCTGTATCCATTCAAATCTTTGCCACAATATTCACTCAGTGAGAGACTGATGGCTCCGTAGTTCTAGTAGTTCGTGTTGGTAGGATCCGTCAAACTAATCGGTCGCATGCGCTTTGAAGTTGGTACGTTGATTTCATTCCTGGTTGTTGGTACTGTGGATAGTGTGCTGTGAAGATATCAGACATTGGTGCATCACACCATGCCACGGCGACTTAACAGAATGTATGGAACCAAGACGAGGTATCGAATTGTGTTGAAGTCGGTGGCTCTCCTTATAACCCAGGCTATGTAATTAATATCAACATATCATGACCATGTGAAGGGTGATGAGAAGCGACTGTTGCAGACGATCAGCTGAATAGTACCAGAAAACAAAAGTGCTAAATTGCGATCCAAATTTTCTTTTCTCAAATGGGCCCTAGCAAAACTAGGCTTTGGTAGTTAACACGGGAATTATTCACGCGACAATGCTGATGCGTGGAGGCCAACAATAAATATTGTACGCGCACCACACAACTCAACGCAGTTCGCTGTAATCAGAGGCCTAGCCTAGTTGCCATGGTTACACTGTGATTTTGTAGTAAAGCGAGCTTAACTCACTATGATTTTCAGCCGCCAGAATAAATGGTGTACACAACAGCACCCAAAGTAGTTTTGTAGTGTTCATTTTTCCCTATGTCTACTGTGCTGTGTCCTTGTTGCATCCATATAGGTTTGTTCGTGGAGGTCAGGTCAATTTGAGTTTATTGATCGCGTTTGTTGATATAATTGGTCCCTTGGAAGGGAGTCGACATCAGCTAATTATATGATTGGTCCAAGTAGGCCACTGAATTTTTGTTCATGTTCTCCATGATCATCCCCCCGATTTAATATATTAGGCAGTCCGAAAATTGTATGCATATTTCGACGCAAGGCACAGACTTTAGGCGACTAATTAACGGTGGTGCCTTGAGGGCAAATTTGATAGCTCTATCACTTCTCATGGCAAACTGGTTAGGACCAAAACATGGGCAGGACAACCAGGATCGACGGCTTCAAGTAGGTCGATGGAGTCAAGGCGGTTTTCTGCAAAGGTTTCAGGATTGCCTGACATTCTGAAACTCTGCGATGTTTGAGCGCACCGAGAGCACCATGCAGAACCGGAAGTAGCAGGTTCGTTTCAAATTGGTCACCGACTGTATGCGGTGAGACAAAGTGCGTGGAGTCCTACAGCAATTCCTTCAGAGGGCATCCATTTTGGGTGGGGACTGACATGAACAGGCAGATTGGACCAAACGAAATGTAGGTATTGTTCGCCTAAATATATTCATGAGTTCACACTACATCACAAAATCGACAGATCAGACATTGTCCTAAGCAAAACGGAAGTTCACAACGTAAACTAATCTAGAACCTGAGAATGGGCTTACGCAGCTCCTCTCCTATCGGCTATGATCGAGCTCAGGCAATGTACCATCCAACAATAAATCGGTTCGCCAGCACATATGGTTTGTGCATTGTAGTACGATTATTTGTCTAGACTCTGTAGATAACAGAACTCAAGAAGTTACCCAGGGACAGAACAAGTGATGATCGAGGTTAGCTTTATCAAATTGCACTCTGGGGACAGACAGCGTCGTTGGACGAGCAAAGCGCAAAAAGAATATTTGAAACCAAACTGAGTGATACGCGGAACACATCCTCGTTCAATACCGGGTGCATGGCAGCCGAAAGTGTTCCAATAAAGGGTATTCGATTTTGAATTTTCTTATATAAGCGTTGCCCTCGAAAGTTCATATATTGTTTTAACGTACAAGAATATCAGGTTGTAAGCGCTCGTTTTAGAATGATGTGCGCTAAAACATGAACCTTCGTAGAATGTCAGCATCAGTTGTTTTCATATCCTTCTTCCCCAAATGAATATGCCTCACGGAGTGCTCATTGGCCAGTTAGAACGATTTTTAAGAAGTTTATTAACTGAACAAAGCGCTAGATAATCATCTGTAGTGTTGTTCATTCTTCATTTTGCCTGGCACGTAAGTCTCGTTAATCTGTGTGAGCAAATCGTTCGATCGAATCTGTGAATCCGAGGAACACCGTGTAAAATTCGGAGCAACGTCTTTCTAATCACGCGCCAGCGCAAGATTTCACAATTCGCCATTGCGAGTAACCTTTGTGTGCATCGATCCCATCTAGTATCATGACCAACTCTTGGCCAAAAAGACCCTACCTACAAACAAAACATGGAATGATTAGAGCCAAGACACCCGTGCAAACACGCCTGCTGAGGCAAATGGGGGGAAACGCAATTGTTGAGCTGCAGAACCCTTTTGGTGCCTAGCTGCGACGATAACACCCGATGGGAGCACTGGGCCGAAATAACTCTAGGTTGTCCAAACCTAGACAGGATGCAGTCGAGATGTGACTCACGAACCTTCCGGTCATTAAATTCACCCTTCAACTACTGAGAATCAATAAGTGAATTTGACCCTGATCATTCGACCTGAAGGAATGAATTTTTTAACGCAAGATTGCCTCCTGGACAATGAAAGGCGGTTGTGATTGTCTTATCTCCCGTTCGGAAATTCGAGCGACCAACTTCACAATGTGACATTCATCTTTATGGTCTGTTAATTAATGCAGTTGCGTTTTTCTGTATTTCTATCTTATTCGAACGCCTTGGTCCCTGTGCTGATTGGCCCTTTCCTGATCTGTGTTGCGTTGTGGTCTGCCACCAGATTTCGATTGATTGTTGCAGTTCATTTCCGTCACGGAAACTAACGGAGTTTTCAGTCTATAAACCCACCGCCATGTAGTGTTTTCTTTAGCATAAATTAATTGTTGGGTTTGAAAAATGCATTGCTTTGCATCAGGATTTCAAATCAACCTCAAACTTGGTAAACTGGAGATGGAACCATGACGCGATCCGTCCTAAATAACCAGCGGTTTCTGATAAAGCATTTTGCTCCACAGCTACCCTCAAATGCACTCAATGAGCTTTGAAAACTGAAACCAGGTCAATGGTGTTACATCTCAGAAACCGGGTGGTCTAATCCCTTTCGTTTCCGGTTTTTGTGGCTCGGTCGTCTAAACTCTTCTGCGTTTGAAATGTAAATCTGAAAACCTCCTCAGAGGTTTCAAGTTGTTGAGGCTTTCTTGAAACCCTGTTGTTCAGAATGTCAAATGAAATCCGTCGCAATTTCGTGACGGACAAGTCAATCTTTGAACTTGTAATCTAACAGAACGGATTACTGTTACAACCCCGGTTTATATTCACCCCTGCGGTCTAGAGCACCGGCCTTCACATGTTTTGCTAACGAACTGGTTTTGCACTTCAAACTAGTTCCGGTTGTTACGTAACTATGAGATTCCAGTAATGTCGATTAAACGAACTGGATTTCGGATTTTGCGTAGACGTTTACATTCTTCACTTGAGTTATCAATGCGTGCTGTCGACGTCTCAATGACGAAGGTGGCCCTGCACTTTCGTTCTCACTGTTGGTAACCGCTAGGCTGGTCATGATCGCAATATTACCTCGGAAGAAGGCGAGTCCGTTTATGCTCCTCAAAGATTTCTCCATCAAAATTGTTTGTTTATACGTCGCACACGGACTCACCGCAAAAATTATCAACATCAGTATTGTTTGAAGGGTTTTATTTTAGCGAAGTAAAGGCACAGTGTCGTAAACACTGGATTCTGCCGGGTTTCTCGATAACTCGTGTAGATTCTGTTTGCGCGGTCCACGTCAGCTTTTTCCAAGACATGAGCTTTTTTCTTGCAATTTTGTTTCATAAATTCACACAAAATCTAATCTGAAATAAAATCAAAGAGTAGTTATCGAATTATGGAACATCATCGAAATCCACCGCACTTCAAATAAAATTTATAAACAGCCAAGCTCTCACTATGCCAGTAATCCAACACGGCCTAAATGTGTCCAAGTACCGTAGCGGTATTACAGCGCGGTACTCGCTCATCTCGGTCGAGATCTCGCTTGGGTTTGCTCGAGTTGCTGTTGGTTCTACTGTTTTATGCTGTGATAACAAACTGACAGGTGTTGTGTCCTTGTTCATCACCGGTGCTCGGTCCGCTGCTGGAGCTTCCAGTACCCAGCAGTATTCGGCAGATAGCTGACTATGATTGTAGAACAGTTGGCTTTAAGGCCGAAAGATCTTGCGTCATTCGGATAGAACAGTCGGCTGATCATCTCCGCACTTGTGTAGCGATAAGTGCTTTGACACTTGAAGCAGTCTGCTTCGCCACCAGTAGTGCGTTCACCGGAATGGAAAACAAGTAGAGTGCAAGAAATGTGGTGAGTTATTCTCCCCAAAATGGAATTTGGATCGCCTTATGAGAACGCAAGTTCCCCACATTTGAAAGCAATGTGGGAAAACGTACACTCGACAGGATGCGCTTAAGGAACATGTAGAATCTATCCACTACACGGATGCAAACGCCACGACAGACGGACCAACAACGGATTGATCAAATGTGACCTACAGAAGAATAAACACACTGAGTAGCACAATGTGTAGAATTCGTTTCGTCCTGACTGGTTCAACAAGCATCAAGACTTTTCACCTTGGATCTGGGAAGCAGAGAAAACAATTCTTTGAGAGCAAGACAGTTGGACGGGAAAATCGGAGTGGCCGAATATGGACGCTTTACGAACTATATTTTGCCACGAAAAACAAGTGACCTGATTTTCGATGAAACCGTTGCTGTGTTATCGTCAAATTTCGAAGAACAGGCTTTCTTGGTCAGCTGTCGAGTTCAGTGTATGAATTTGAGCAAGAATGCTTGTGAAGACTGGATCACGCCAACAACGAGTGTGAACATTTCAACTTCCGCAGCATGACAGAGGATGAGTTCAAGTGTCTTATATTTGTGTGCGGGTTGACGTCTGCTGAAGGCTCAGGAAGAGAACGAGAATGTTTAGCAAGATTGAGCAGAACTCAGACGTCACATTACAGATCATTACGTCGGAATGCCAGCACCCGATGAATTTGAAGCGTGATACTCTCATGATACAAGAAGGTGGTCCCAACAATGCTGTTCATGAGATTCAGGAGCATACTGTCTTTCAGGGTGACATGAAACCATCTTCGGCATACTGGAAATGTGATCAGTGGCATTTCGTCAATTTTTGCCCGTTCAGAAGGCACCGCTGCAGCAGGTGCTCCGGTATCGAACACAAAGAAGATCGGTGTCATGGCGAGAGAATGCAAGCACCCAAGAGGCATTCTCGAACTAGAACATCCAATTCCAAGCTTCCGAAGGCCCGCGTTGGTCTGGTCGCTCATCAACGCCCACACGTGAACAGGAAGAAATACGTATCAGTGCGTATTGACAGCACACCTGTTCGTCTCCAGCTGGGCGCGGCATCAGGATCATCTCAAAAGGAACCTGGAACTTTCTTGGCATTCCAGCATTAACCAGGACCAAACAAGTTGCACTCACTTCACCCGGGAGTTTACTGAAACTCTCTGGTGAGTTCAAATGTACCATGGCTCTTGACGGTGTCAGTGTAAGTGGCATTTGTCATGTGTCCGATCGTCCCGGATTGGATTTGTTAGGATTAGATTGGATCGACAAGCTAAACCTTTCGGACAGGCCAGTGAATACTATCAGTTACAAGGCACAGGCGATGAAAGCGTACATATTCAAACAGCTGCCTGATTGGTTTCTAAAGAGGAACTCAGAAGTCGCATCCTGTGCACCAAGTCTCTGTCGTGCCACCCTCAATCAAATGGTCAAGCCGAGAGATTTGTGGATACTTTTAAACGAGCACTGTCGAAATCTCGAGTCTACAAGTAGCTAAACGAACGAAATGTCCCAACGAAATGTTCCAACAGGCCGAGGCTGTTTGACTGGCAAGGTTGTTCCAACAGGCCGAGGCTGTTTGACCGGGTAGATAGACCAATCGCTGAAGTCACCGTCAGATGACGGATGGTCTGTCGTGTTGATCGGACAGCAGAAGTTTTGGCTGATTCAATCGAATATTGACGTCCTGCTGCATTTTTCCACCTATGATTTAAGCCTATTCTCAGTTACCACGAAGGAGACTAGTTTCATTACTAAGTATTCTCCATTTCTCTCGGTCAGACCCTGCGCTCGCCTGAACACACTGATTTCTGTGCCTATCTCATGTATACCACATTCACTTACATTCGCTGACGAACTGTTGACCCTTAACATATCCGACCAGGTTTGACAAAAATGTTTCTGAAAACGATGAGTACTCACTCATTTCCAAGGTTTGTTCACAGTTTCGACGACCTCTCACGCCCAATTCCTGACCACTTGCGCTAACACGTTCTATGCGCACACGTTTGTCCCTAACTCAGAGAGATTGGCCGTTCAACATGGGCAACCTGCGGACTTGTGCCATTTCAAACACCAATAAAACGGAATCCCCCGTAAGGTTAATACTGGGTTTTATTGATAAACTTCAAGACCTCGCATGTCTCGTTTCGTGGTTTCGCTCGCGACCCCATAGTACACCGCGTGTTCAACCTTTTTCGCAAAAGAAACAGAGTTTATCGGATCCCCTTTAGGTTCCAATCTATGTGGACTGTAGCTCACAACCATACACCGAAAAAAAAGAGGTAAACCAGATTCCTGTCAGGACGATAAAAAATTGAAAGGAATCGAACAGAAGGTAACACATTGTTCACACATGTTCGAACAGAAGGTAACACAGGCCATCATAGACACATTTTGTGGGCGTGTACTACATAGTCCGGCTGTTTCTCCTTAATAAGTCATTTGTCGTTCGGCTGATCGGCGTGCTTCCTTGCGATATGTCTCCTGAGAATATCTGCTCGGGAGGAGGTTCGTCCGCATTGTTCACACATGTGACGGCCTTGCGTTCCATGCACGGTTCTTGTATGACAATCCAAATCTGATTTCCGGCGGAAAGAGGCCCCACACTCCTCGCATTGTTGACGTGCTACCTCAAGATGCATCTGTTTCAGATGCCGAGAAAGAATACCCCATGTAGCAAAGCACTTTCCGCATTTGGGACACGAATTTCCCCGTAGCTCTGATTCTTGCACTCGTTTACTGGAAGTTCTGGAGAGCATTTCGTCTCCCGAAGGATGAAGTCGCCTCATGTGTTGCCGCAACCAGCGCTCATTCCGGAGCGAGGTTTTGCACAAACTACACTGAATATTGGCATCTTCAGCGTGCACCTCTTGGTGTCTCTCAGCTACTGACAGAAAGGACTTGCCACACACCAAACATTTGTGTGGGCCCTCCGGATGTGCTTCTCTACCCGGGTAGTCTGGCTGATCAGCACTGGGATAGTCGTCATCCATTCTGTGTGCCGATGGCGTGCTGCGTTCAACTGCTGGTTGAAAGAACGGCGGTGAAGGAAAGAATAATAGTTTCACTCTATATATTTAACGGGCTTTTGGAAAGTTTAAAGCCATAGGCAGATGAGCACGGTCTCGTCCAAATGCGCGGCATTTCCAGTGCTCTAAATAGATTAGGAAATTCTAAACTAGGCCATGGTGCTGTCGAAAAGCCGAGAATAACTGAGTCGCTGTTTCATCCTCATTTGGAATTATGAGCAGTGTGCTTTTCACGCATCTTCAGAGAAATGTAGGCTCACACGCCACTCATTAGTCTATTTTGGTGAGCACTTGATGTGGCTACCTCCCCACTGGCTTCACCAATGAAGTGGTGTCGGCTGAAACATACTCATGACTTATAAATCATTCTTCAATTTTAGCTACTTATAAATCGTCAATAATTTGATCGTGTCGTCCACCCAGTCAATTGATCAGGTCTATATACCAAACGGCGGAATGCAGCTGTTTCAATCTAGGGCGATGAACTTGGGTGAATCACTATAATAGCTCGTAACAATTTCAAATTTGCATTCCCGGGATTGTAACTTTACTGGCTTTTCTCACCATTTGTTTAATTAGTGCTTGCGAAATGCCTGGATATTTTCCCGTTGGAACTTAGGGAGTCAGTACTGTTACTGATACCGGAAATAACAAAAAACAACCTACATGATACATTCCAGTAGCTGAGTGACTCAAGCAACCAGAGCGAGCATTACCACCACCGGTATTGGGATACCCTTGGGAAATATGCGTAGGCGACGAAAACTCAAGGTTCCTCAGTCGATCACTGAACCAACGGCCGCTATGCAGTAAGGCTCAAATTTCACGCAAATCTAAGAAGGGTCTGCTTACCTGTCACTGAACGTTCGCGCCATCTAGACACGAACATGCGTGCTGTTTTTAAAATGGTAGGAAGCTCAGAGTTTCAGCTATACTCAAATATGAGAAATCAAGTGACACACCAAAACAATCGTCAATCGGGGTTCAAGATAAGTTTTCCGATAAAATGTGTGCTGAGCTGGTGATCACTTTGATGTCTTGACCAAATGAAATGAATATAACACCAAACTAAGCTACGTTTGTAACATCACTTACGAAAATGAAATCGGGTATTGTTAAGAACTCGGAGATATTTTTCCCTAAGGAGATACTCTGGATAAGTACTGAGGGTAACTGAGTTGGGTATGAGCCCGAGATGATTCAGTTGCCATTTGGTGCTCGTGAGCCTGCCATTCCAAATGACCCAGGAGAGTTGAAATCCAGTCGAGGTCTACCAGCGAGAAGTTGCCGGGTTCTCACTGCTGGTCCCCTCAGCTAGCAAGAGGAAGCAATCACGAAGTAAATTGAATACAAGACGCTGCTGCGTAAACCCGAATACACATTATACGCACATACACTATAAAACTCAACGCATTTCGCTGTAAAACACGCAGCTTGCTGGCGCATTTTGTGGACCGTACCGTTTGCGATATCAAGAGTAGACTCACGATGATTTTCGGCCGTCACATAACTAGCTATATACACCATCGTCAAAGACAATCCGGTGATACTCACCTAAAAGGGATTTCGAAGTGCGTCTAATTCGAGCAGCTATTGTGGCGTGTCTTATAAGTTTTCCAATGGATGAATGGATGCTTGTTATCTGAGTTTATCGATCAAGTTCATCGATATCACGGTGGCGCGAAGAATTAAGCCGAAAACGCCTAATTAACTAATTGGCTTCGGGAGACCATTCCCTGTGTAGGTTGCCTTTCAACGTTAAGAGCAAATCAACTGGTCGGACAAATGCGTTTGAGAGAACTAATCAGGCTCAGGAAACTGAAAGATTTTGTCTTCACAAGGCTAACCACCTGCATTTTGTGCAAGCTGTGCATGATCTCTTCATTAGAGGAAATCTCGTTAGAATCAAAGTATGAGGGAAGGTGGCAACAGTCATTACGCGTGACAGTTAGGTGGTGGAAATTTCTGACATTCCGATGTACCCAGAGAGGACACAGGTGCCTCTTGTCAAGATGAAAACGGAAAGTTTTGGACTCAAAATGATCAGCGAACCTGAGCGCAGAGGGATAGAGTCGGTCGATATTGACTAATTCGAAAGCTTAGTTATTCGGGCGACAATCAGGCACAAACTAGCGTAGCTTGGATGGCTAAATGATACTGAACCTGCTCTTCAGGATTCCACACAACTGTGGAAGAGAGGTCTATCCTATTTTACAACTTAATCTATTTACTACTGGATTTCATGGATTCACGGATTCGCGGATTGAAACACAGCATCGTCGCTTTTCCCCAAGTTTCCCGGGTCGGTTTTGTTCTTGTCGGTCAATGGCTGTCGTTCACCTGAAAGGCACACGTGGAAAAATGGTGAAGCACTGCTCTTTATGTTCTCAACGCGGGGAAGTATGCTTGCCAGCGCGGGGATTCGCATAAATAAATGTCTAATGGTGCTTTAAATTGTGTTCTAGAAGGACACAGCTGCTTCTGAATTCGGTCACGTATTTAGATGGGTGTCGCCGAAGAGCTGCTCCACATCCAGTTCGGTGTGAAGTGACTGGAATACTCGGCTGAATAAAAGGGTAGAATTAGTTTACTAAATATGCTCTGTAATGCGAGACAAAACAGGAGTAAGATCCGGACGGTTACGGATCTCACAGGACGATTGCGACTATTGGATTATACGCAGTTCACAGCCAGCAGTCAATAAAAGCAGACAGACATGGTGCAGCAGATGATATGTTGAGGACTGACAGGAACTGGTTCTACGGACAAACGGATCAGTAAGCATCATGAATTGGGCAAACGTACAAGCGGCAACAACAAGTAAGTACCAAACGATTTACAGACATACATATACGGCAGTCTGACAGTGCAAATTGGCCGTAACGGCTCAGGAGTCGGTACGTTCGTGATGTGAGGGACTGTCCTTCGGTCGGCGTCGACGCAGCCGTTCGTGTCGCGTGACAGGTCAGCTTGCGCGGATCCGTCCGTTTAAAACAAAGCTCAGCAAGTGTTACCTGGCAGGCGCGATACATGGGTAACACAAGATAATCAGCTCCAGAGCGTCAGGCTGGTGAGGTCGGTAGCTCGTTCGCCTGACGTCCGGAGGATCCGGTTTGGATACTCGGTAAGGTCGCCTTTCCGTCGGAGTGGGCGCTAAAAAAATAGGCGCAATCGAGGCGAACA